GATGAGATACAACATATATAACCTAATATATCCCACTGGGGGTGCTTCGGAGTAACGCCTTTAAATAACATCGTTTAAATAGACTACTTCCAATAATTTATCGGAATATTTCTATATCCTTGTGAAAAAAGAATTGGAGTGGAAGTATTTGCGATAACTGGGTGAAAATATTTGTGCTATTTTGGTTGCCGGTGTCGTTGATGTTCGTGTTTCTGTTGGCAAGATTCCAGGCAAAGATTTTGGGGATGCTATATATGACAGAGGCCTGTAAGTGTGAAAGGATATACTCTGGAAATATTAAACATATTGAATAAAATCGATAAAACCCTTTCCTTAATCCTAAAAAATCTATAGTACGATTCCGATTTTAGCATGTCTTTGCGACAAAGTGAGCGCATCCTGCTCCTCCGATCGCATCCGTCACAAACACATGCAAAAGCAAGTCAAATGTTCACTTGAGTACAAAACAGGAACAAATGGTACAAGTTAAAATGGGGTATTTTATCGGACATCATTTTTGCCATAAAAGCCTTTGCAAGCTTTATAAGAGCTTTGAATGTTGTAATCCTGATCAAGCAACTTTTGAGCAAGAGTCATATGACGCTCTTTCAGGTCTTCGCAGAATGAGCATGCTCGATTGTACCTCAAAAGTTTTGAAACGAAGACACCAAAGGCTGGAGCTGTTGGAATATTGCTTGACAAATTGGGACAGTTGAAGATAGGAAATTTGAAGTCATCCCTCTTGTCATTCAGTCTTGTGGAGAGTATTTTGTCACTCTGAATCTTTATGCAGTGTCTATATACTTATAACCCAGATGAGTTTCACTGGTCTTTCTAATGTCCAGCTCAAGTGGGTAAATCTTTGAAAGGGAATTAGCACACAGCAATATATTGCATGCACATTAAAGCTCGGAGTACAGCATATAGACCTTCACAAGTCCCTAAGGCAAACATTATTATGTAAATAATAGAAACAGGTTGTCCTTAAAGGAGACCTTCGTCCTAAGAGTGTACTGTCCGCTTATCTAGACTTGCCTATTATAATGATAGAATTGCTGAATACATTCATGGACTTATCAGTCAGTAGAGGAGCAAGGCTAGACAGCATACGACGAACGCAATACAAACCAGTAAACTCAAAATACCATATTCAACCTACATTATTACAATTGCAAATTATATCTGTACTTTTATTGGATGAGAAAGGGACTCATGACCTTCCTAATATACAAAATACAGCAAACAAATAAACAACCTGAAATATGCCATATACAGCATACGGCACACGCCACACATAATACAATGCACAACCTGAAACATGCCATATACAACATACAGTATACAACATACAATACACAACCTGAAAATGCAATATACAACATACAGCACACATAATACAATACACAGCCTGAAACATGCCATATAAAGAATACAGCACACACCACACATCATACAATACGCAACCTGAAACATGCAATATACAACATACAGCACACACCACACATCATACAATACACAACCTGAAACATACAATATACAACATACAGCACACACCACACATCATACAATACACAACCTGAAACATACAATATACAACATACAGCACACACCACACATCATACAATACAGAATCTGAAACACGCAGCATACAACATACAGCGTAAACATACATTGCATGTGGTGGTGAGATACTGCAATACCATACATCTAGGTTAACCGTTTTGCACAGACATGCAGTGTGGTGATACCATGTGGAATTTAAAGTTAACCTGCTCTCTGGAAGCGGTGACTCCTGTCTGAGGCAATGGCAGTGACTTCATTTTCATAACAATGGGCAAATCCCGGAACAAAATCTATGATCAAGTCTTTGAAAGGCATTTAGAAGTGATATACATAAGGAAGAGAATATATGGATGTCAACTTCTTTATTATGAGAAACACAACGTTTCGGAGTATATGCTTACTCCTTCATCGGGTGATCGTGCTAATATAATATACAATATGTGGGGTCAATCTCATTAAAACGAGACCTTCGTTCTCGCTACCGCTAAACAAAGCGAGTACTAATTAAAGTCTGATTTTAATGAGATTGTATGTGGGGTCTTTTTTTATCAGTTTTAAAAACAAATGCTATATATCTAAATATGTTTCTACCAACTCTTGGTTTCTAGAAAACAAAACTTTTTATGTCGCCTTATTTCGTTCAGATTCCGATTCAGATCTTCCGATGCCATCAAAATGTTTTACTTCTTGTCCCTGGTATGTTCCCCGTGCTTCAAAAGCTCCTGGAAACTTTTATATGTTCAAAATGCTGTCATCAAGGATGATTTATTGATTTATTTTTTTTAATTGTGTAACGTAATGGCAGCCACTAATTGCATTTAATTATGATGCAGACAACTCCAGTCAAGCAGGACATGTGCGCAGGGGCTGTTTGACAGATTGACATTTTAGATTTTGTGCGTCTCGAGCTCGCCTGTCAAGACTCCGAAAGGTAACCAAACGTTCTTAAGTAAGTGTACGATCCGTCATAACGCTTACATCCGGGTAACTGCCCTGGTGCGCGAGTTTCCTCACGCTGAAAAACCGGTAACGAAGTCGTCTCGCATTCCTTAGCGCATGTCAATTACGACTTCCGGCATATACCTTACAAGTTCCAATTACAGATTGCTGTGTAACGAGACATACGGTACATGTTTTCTTCAAATGCATACTGTCCGTCTCGAGCGATCCGCCTCGGGAGATACCAGCAATTTTATTCATTTTAATCCAGTGGCATTTCCTGAACCCTTGACAATCAGGATATCGTGTAATAAAAGCACATGCCAACCTATGCACATCGCGGGTTGACATCAATCCCCCCTGCGTAATGTTTGTAGAACCCTTGAAAAATTACACGTTTGGGTTGATGGCATTTCTAAGTGATATTAACTGTAGTTTATTGTCTCACTCTCACGTTTTCTCGGCACTGTGAGCGAGATCCACGGAGCAGACGACGCTCATGGCGCCAAACCATGATGTGGGGAGTCGGTCGGTATTTGTGTTATTCCCTTGAGGTGGTTTTTGCACAGTATGAGTAGATAGAAGTGATGGACAACTGATAAGGTCCCCCTTTGTTCTCCTCAAAGACTTTCGCTCGTGTCTGCTTTATTATATTCTCCGTATCTTATCTCGGGCCCTCCGAAAGTCATTTTGTCTCTCTGGCTTTCCACACATCTCTGAAATAGGCATTTGTGACTATGATGTATTCCTCCTCAGCACAGATAGTGTTAGAGCCTTTCGTCTTAATGGAGAGTTGTGTGGACGGCACAGAAGTTTATCGACGTTCATCGTCTATTTCAATACCACAATATCACAAAGCGAGAAAGAAATGCAAAAGTCGTCCATCATAAACCGCACGATAGCAAACCCTTTTAGTTGATCTTTGAATCCAAGATGAAACAGTGGTTATGACAGAAGTAGTTAAGACGGGTGGGATGGTGTGATGGTTCGTATACTAGATCAGCGAGTTGTGCTTTCTTAAAACCATTCACAGAAGGCTTTCTGTTCAAAAGGACGTTAAACGCAACTCACGTCACGAGGTCATTCTAAATGAGTGAGTGAGACATTAACGTTGTGTCGACGTTTCAGTCATACAGCTACAATAACGAATCCATTCAGAAACAAAACATGCATGTTTTATGCACTATGCCTTTCTTTTTTTCTCAACGAATTCTTTCATCTTGTAAGCTGCCCCTTCACTATATATGTCGTGTTCATATTATCAGTTCATGTCCAATTTAACAAAGCTTAGTTAATGTTATAATTGCCAGATATTTACACATACATACGATAGGTGTAGGACAAGGATCCATGCTGAAACAAGGGTTGTTTGCACAGAGGCAGTACAGTGCATGTGAAGGGTAGAAAAGAGTGCTTTTTGTGACCTCCAGGAGCTGCTGGAACATTAATGGTCGACATGAATGGAAAAGTTGAAGTCATCCCTCTTTTCATACATCCGTATGCACAGTTTCAATCTTTACTGATCAAAATATGAAACAGACGATGCGGTTCACTGGTCCATTTATTTCTAGTTCAGTAATCAGAATAAATCTGACACTCTGCGTGTTATTACTTGTTTTACGTGTTCCATAGTAACCGAGCGACTTGAGCCGGTGTGTGATTTTGCGATCATTGTAATGGGTCTGGTTGTAACTCCCTAACTCTTTCTACGATAATCTTCCCATGCATATTTTCAATACTTGTGCCAGTGTATGCAGCGAATAAACGAATGGGGTTCTCAAAATAGTGAAAATAGATGCTAAAATCTGAATTTCGCTTTGTACATTGTACAAGTCGTTTTCACCACTATTTATTTCCCTTGCTTTCGCCTTTGACAATTTGGATTAGTGGCATAAATAATGTTATTTGAATCCAAAAATTATGGTGAATTCAGGGATGTATCACAGCTGAATAAGAAATACATGTGATGTAATAGGCGTTTCAAAACCGGCATATGTGATTTTGTTAAAACTATCCACTTTGGCAGATCGTTCACTTCAGCGTAAACCTAAATTTCAGGGTTCGTTAAAAGTTACATGTCTTTGGTTTATATTGGTATTACCGCAGAGTATATTACAGAAAACAAATACCCCGCTAAATCCAAGTGTATTTTGTCTTTTTTCGATTTCGAAGTGAGGGTAGAAGAGCACGGACATATATCTCCCTGTGGCATCCGAGGTTTGTCGGATCTGACGACATGCTGATGGAATGCCAAGCCAACTTATCGAATTACGAAACGAGAAAGGATAGATTTACTCCATTTGCAGCAATATTATTGCAGTGAATTCAAAGCAATGGACTACATGAATAGAAAGTGTCATGAATTTCAAACCCGGACTTCCTGTGCGATGAGCTAGCACCGTAACATCCAGACCGTCCCCTCCCATCTATCCTTAAAAGCACACACATTGGTATGCGAGTCGCCGGCACAACGATGACAAAGAACGAACACAAACATATGCTAGAGTGAAGCATGTATTTTGATACTTAAGTGTACAAAAATAAAATTCAAATAAATATAAATAAACCTTGCATCTGGTATATAATAATTCCAACAACAATGATCAATATGTGCAGTCATCTTTAAGACTTTTACACAAACTGCCTATACATATTTACATCGTTGAGAGACTCAACACGGGAGTATTCTTAGAAGACAATGTTCAACAATTACAATCTGTTTCTGTCGTACGTAAAGCACCCGTCAACAAAAAATCCAAGGGACGTACAACGTGAGAGCCAAACATAGCTGGCCTGTGGATTTCAACATCAATAGACACCTCTTTGGCAGCCTCAAAACACGGGGAGGACAGCCCTACTGGTGACATCATCGTCATGTGTGACGTCGTACATCAAGCAACGCCCACAGCGCTTTGTCAAAGGGAATCCGTCTTCTTACTACCTCTTGCAATAACAGTAGGTGTGGCACTGACCGACGAAACATATCCTTAAAACAGAATACAAAGTAAGGAAGGATTTCTAGAAAGTAAAGAGGCGATGAATACCCTAGCGCTGTTTTTTAAGTCCTCAGAGGCCGCAAACTGAGACCGCTCGTTGCCCTATGGCCTGATGCTGGGAGCGAGAGAGCCTATCACAGCCGAACAAGTCCTGCCCAAGGGACCTTGTACGCATGTGCGGACGCAGCGTTCTGTTCCTTGGCGCCCGGATGTAGACGATAGGGTGAGGAATACTACTTCCGGTAGAGACAGGATATCGTATTTAAACATCTGATGGTGATTGTGCCATATTTTCGGATCAGACGATCTTCCCTCGCTCTTCATTCCTTTGCTCTCCTTCTTGCGTTCTTACCTCTTCCTGAAAATGATAAGACACATCAGATGATCTCTTATGATATACTATTTTGAAAGATTTGACCCACATTTACTTTTCCGTTCGCTGTTGAAGCATACTCCCAACGCATCAGCGCATGTATTCAGTTCACCATAAAAATGACGCTGTGATAACATAATTTATCATATAATGGCTAGTGTTATCGATCCGATAAACCAATCCTATAGACCGATCCGAGAAATATGCAACTGAGGTCCTCTAGCAGGAATTACATTTCGACAGGTGCGTTTACTGATTGTATTATTTCGTTTGTTTGTTGCACCCAGCAATATTCCAGCTATATGACGGCGGTCCACGCAATTGGGATACGATGACATGCATCAACCAAGTCAGTGAGCCTGACCACCCGATCCCGTTAGTCGCCTCTTACGACAAGCAAAGTCGCCCTTTACGGCAAGCATTGGTTGCTAAAGACCTGTTCTTACCCGGATCTTCACGGGTCGAACAGTACATATATGACATTGAATGTTCGTCAGACTTGCGTAAACGAACTAATCCTTCAACTATGTTCACGGTCTGGTTCCCCTCTTCTACCAAGGTCTTGCCATTGTAAGTCATTCCACATGTGAAACAGACACATTGTCCTGTGTAATAAGGGTTATCAAATAGTACATAGTACAATAGTACATAGTAACCACAATGAATCTTTACCTCTCCGTTTGGGTGACCTCCGTTTCCGTATGCACTTCCTCTTGCACCTCTTCTTCCGGCCGAAGTTATTTCCTCCCGTTTTGCAACCTCGGAATTTTCGGCATTTTCCAGTCTCTGGATCAAAGTACCATCTCTTCCTCATCTTCTTACAGTCCTTGGCCTCTTCCGTGAGGGGTAGGAGACACAGGGAATTGGGGGTGGAGGGGTGGGTCGAGGCCGTGGCATCATCCGACAATGGCGTTGTATACAAGGTGATCTTCGTACGGCCCTTTCCGCCAACATCTGAAACGAGATGAATGCATGGTCATTTAATATTGAATAATTAAGTCACGCGAACCTTTGTATTTAAAAAGTGAATATGTTTGGACTGGGGCCAATGATGTGATTATTTATGACAGACATCTTCATCTCGAACAAGATAGAATCATCTCGAACGTTTTATCTTAAACTTATTGCGCAGTCGAGTTGTGTCAGTCTGTACAGTATATAAAAAACTGTCAATTTTAAGTGTTCATCTATCTTTTTCTGGAATGTGAGTGTGACTTGGGTTTTACTTCGCTTTTAACAATATTCAAGCAATATCACCGCGGGGAGACCAGAAATGGGCTTTACACATTGTACCCATATGGAGAATCGAACTCAGGCCTTCGGCGTGTTTACCGAACGTTTTATCCTCTAGGCTACACCATGTACCACCGCCTCCCTTCAAATTGAATTGAGCCTAGTTCCACTACAGTGTAATATTCGATAGACAGCCTTATACATTGAAAACAACCCCGCTACATCTGCATGCACTGCGCGTTTAAAGATGATACCAGGTGCCTCGTATTTCTGAGTATGGACTATATATTAGGTAAGGTGACTTGTTTAAGTATGTTACTGTAACGCGACGGACTGAATCGAGCTTTACACCACCAGTGATTGGATGGCAGGAACGACTGGTGGTGCGAAGCACGATCAAGACTGTTCCGCGCTGTTCTAGGTTCCGCAGGTCGTGTGATAACTGTATATTAATCCTACTTACATTTTAACTTCCTGGTCTCGAAATTGAGTTCACTTGATTAGTCGGTCAGGATAAATTGTGACTCGACATTGCACACATACTTTATACTATAAACTAGCCTCGTCAAAACAGTCAGCTATGGACATAATACCAATAGCGTATGTTCAGGGAGAGTTATAGCATTAATCCATCTCGAAGCAACCAACATAGTGTTGACACGCGACGGTTTATGCATATATGACTAGTGTATAAACAACTTAATATCAAATAGACTGAAGCATTAAGTGAGTAGTCTTCCTCGGAGAAATCAAACAAATGTCCTCTCTACCCTCCTTCGTCCCCGTATATCATCTTAATCGCCTTGTATGTCACTATCTATACCCCCGGGTCACGGGCTGACCCCTAGGGCTCGGGCCACGTGCCAACAGATTACTCTCAACACCACCGCCCTTACCCCCAGAGCGCCATGCACCGACCTAACGCCAACTTATCATTCACACAGCGTGGATGAGTTGTAGGAATTATCGTGCACCAAAACACACGGCTCGTATATACTTGTACGTCCCGGTCGCATCCTAGTTTTGACAGTAGCCGGAGATTCAGGTGACAGGGGGCTCCATAAAACATGGCTAACGAAATTAACGATACTCCTTGCGAATCAACATTGTCCGTAAAGAATTTAAAGAATGTAAATTCAACGTAAATGACACAAGGATTCAAAAACCATATCTTTAGAAAGCGTCCTTGTCATCACGTATATAAATATGATCAGCTGTTATTACGTAAATCACAATTTGCATTCCAACTGCACTCGGCGACCCTCACTTGGTCTGAAGCAAGGCGATATTCTACTCCCTATCGCTTTTGTGTAAACGTGGCACAATACGTTCGGCGGTTTGTCGAGTAGATACTGGAACTGCTCTTTACACATGGCAATCACAAGGATGTGTATTTTGTCTATGTGTGAAATATGCGTGGGCTGTGGGTCCAAATATATATCAAGTGCATTCCCCAGTACTTACATTAACCGCCCGCGCCTACCAGTCCTCGTGGGGGTGATAAGCTGCGGTTTTATTACTCTGGACAATAGATAGATCTCCTCACTACTTAAATATTTTAACCTGAAATACTTTAGGTGAAAATGGTTCTATACACTATGGTGTCTTTGGGTGACGTACGGGATCACAGCGTACAGGCGGGTGTTTGAGGGGTATTTTTAGTATGGACAATGAGTTTGTTAAATTCTAGAATATAATTTAAGAATGTTACATGTACTTCAATAAACATATAAACATGGAAACTTTGTTTGATGGGCATAACGCCAAGGCAGCTGGCTGTTTTATTCGAGATCGTGAAATCAATCAGCTTTAACATGATGTTCAGAAACGTTTCAATTCATGTTATGTATTACCAATGTCATACTGTCAAATATATCCACAAAGGTAATGTACTGACTGAACTTGGTTGACCTCAAACATTTACAAAATCATCTAATATAACCACTTATCGAGACACTTAGATATGCCTAATTTAATTCCTGGTCTGCTACAAATGACACATCATCACAATCATCTTTATGTTATGATGTAAGCATCAGCTAATTCCAGGCTCTCGATTTTAACAACCATGATTATAAATGTCGAAATACAAACATAATCTAAACAATGCTGTTCTAATATAAAACAAATAAAACCTGATACCAATAGACGTGTGAGTGAGTTTACCTTATAGAAACGCCTCATTTGCTTGGGCGAACAAACACGTTAACCACTTGACTATGCCACCCCCTATAGTGTGGAAAATTAACTGTTGACTGCTCTTCTTTCAATATCTGCCTCTCGATCATACAATATTTGTCTTCAACTGATATTTACGGTATCCATCAATAAAATATGCATACGGTTCGCATTCCATGATTGTCCGTGACATAAATATGTTGCTGCGATAATCATATGTTTATGGTTCGCCGTGACTTATGTACGTTTACGATTCGCCGTGACAAATATATGTCCATGGTTCGCCTTCACAAAAATATATGTTTATGATTCGCCATGACAAATTTATGTCTAAACTTCACAGTGAATTATGTCGGCTATGGTTCGTCGAAACTTCTATATGTTCATTGTTCGCCGTGACTTCTATATGTTCATGGTTCGCCGTGTCTTCTATATGTCCATGGTTCGCCGTGACTTATGTAGGCTATGGTTTGCCGTGACTTCTATATGTCCATGGTTCGCCGTGACTTATGTAGGCTATGGTTTGCCGTGACTTCTATCTGTCCATGGTTCGTCGTGACTTATGTAGGCTATGGTTTGCCGTGACTTCTATATGTCCATGGTTCGCCGTGACTTATGTAGGCTATGGTTTGCCGTGACTTCTATATGTCCATGGTTCGCCGTGACTTATGTAGGCTATGGTTTGCCGTGTCTTCTATCTGTCCATGGTTCGCCGTGACTTATGTAGGCTATGGTCTGCCGTGACTTCTATATGTCCATGGTTCGCGTTGACTTATGTAGACTATGGTTTGCCGTGACTTCTCTATATCCATGGTTCGTCGCGACTTCTATATGTCCATGGTTCGCCATGACTTATGTAGGCTATGGTTTGCCGTGACCTCTATATGTCCATGTTTCGTCGTGACTTCTATATGTCCATGGTTTGCCGTGACTTCTATATGTCCATGGTTCGCCCTGACTTATATAGGCTATGGTTCGTCGTGACATCTATATGTCCAAGGTTCATCGTGACTTATACATGTCCATTTTTCGCCGTGACTTCTTTATGTCCATGGTTCGCCGTGACTTATATAGGCTACGGTTCGTTGGACTTGAGTGCACATATACGGTTACTGACCCAGAGTGAAGCACGTCTAGTGTTCTGACAGTTTCAAGTGCTAGCCAGTCACTCTCAAGTGGATGAAGCCTCCAGCTACGTCACATATCACTGCGATTATCCTGAGGAATGTTATAATTGCATGTTTATCTCTAGCTAGATAGCATCCAGCTATTTCACTCACATGCATTTAATCTACGGTCTATTCATATCCCTCATCATGACGAGACTGTGAGGAGGGTGTGTGTAGTAGGAGACAAGAGCATGTCTAACATGGTCCTGGTATCAGCAAGATAGTCACATTCGTACACGTTATCTTATCAGTCAGATTGTTCTCGCCACTGGGCGTCTTGCACCGATTACATGTCTTCGTGTATTGATCACATTACGGTATATTCATTAATTATAACTTATTTCTAATAACATTTCGGAAAGTTAGTAAATAGGCTCATATCATTTGAGATATTTCGCTTTGTTTACAGTGCAGCTTGTTGTTTAGGCTTATATAACATTTATTTATGTTCTGAACTGTTATGTGGTGGGGTAGCCGAGGGGTAGAGGCGTTCGCTCTTGAAGCCGAAGGCCCGGGTTCGATTCCCCAATGTGTGAAGTCCATTTCTGATGTCGCCCGCAGTGATATTGCTTGGGTATGTTTTTCTCTCTTTCACGTCATTACACGCCATTGTCGTTTTAACACGCATTTCTGTATACGTGTCCCACTGACTACCCGCTTGATGTTAAATGCTCATGACGTCACAAATACCAATGCAGACAATACAACAAGCCTTCAATTAGTTCTCCTAGAATACGATACGTTTCATTGTAAACTTGGCAACATACTCCTTCAAGCATTAAACTCCCTATCACTGCTAAGGGAATATATATTCGTTCTAATGTGATGATACTCTAACAATGAAATGTTTTTAACATACCGAACGTCATCACAAGACGAGTGACGTCATGTGTTGCTATGAGCAGCATGCAGTTAGGTTGGAGTGAGTTGGGTTTAACGCCGCTTTTAACAGTATTCCAGTTAAATCACGGCGTGTCAGCTTAATATAACACTGCATTGTTTTTTTAGAATAGATCTTGACAGAAACATCTGAGGCCAATCCTTAAAATACTCATCTACCCTATTCAAACTCCAGAATACTTCATCGCCATGACAGGCAGTAGGCTTGCATTGGAGGGGGTGCACAGGGGGTTTAGGTTAAAAAGAGTGGGTGAGTGAGTGAGTGAGTTGGGTTTAACACCGCTTTTAACAGTATTCCAGTTAAATCACGGCGTGTCAGCTTAATGTGGGAGGAAAGCCCGAAGTGATGCAGGTCTCAGACGTTTACCACTTAGGTGAAACCCACGAGCACGGGTATGGTGCTGACAAACCTAGAAACATAATCGGGGCGAACCGGGACTCGAACCAACAATCATAGGTTTCTGGCGTGCCCAAGGGACGCAACTCTGCACAGAATATCGCGGCGCCTTAGACTACTTGGCCACCCGTGCCCCCAGATAGGTTGGAAGAAGTAAATAACCTGATCAATATTCCGTTGAATATCGATTAAACAGGGTATATAATAAATAGAACATCCATAATGTCATACAAATTCCAAGTTTAAGTGTCTTTGATCTGGTGATGAAGACGTGGGCCCGAATCCCGGTTTGTCCTGATTATGTTTCTAGGTTTCAGCACCATATCAGTGTTCGTGGGTTTCACAAAAACCTGCATCACTTCGGGGTCCCTCCCTCATGAACTTAACACGCTGCGATTTAACTGAGATACTTTTATGAACGATGTTAAACCCACTTCACTCACACACGATGAAGATTTCAAAATGTTCTTATTCAATCGATGAGACAAACATATTTGGCAAGACGGTGTGAATGTCGACTACTTGTTATATTCTTTATTACATTAATATCGCTTTCCCGAAGCGTGCTCAAGCATTAGTACCAGATCTGTAGCTGAAAGACCTATTCTGTCTCCCATACCCTAGATAATACATTAACATGGAATCCAACTCAAATCTAGAATGATTTGACAACTCTAGATCATTTTTCTGGGCTCATTTGGATTTTTACTTTTTGTCACATCATAATATATTTTTAAACAAGATAACTATATTTCTGGGACAAAATGTTAGTCTACTTAAAGCCCTTAAAAATATAATACAGATGTGTACAAACATTAACCTATATAGTTTGTACCAAACATGACCAACGAGTTCCCTTAGTAAATCATATACGTTGATACAGAGCATGTACGTAGTTAATTTAGCACATTGTTTCAACTCACCCTTGCAACCTGCCTTTGGTCTGCATGTTTGCCAGTTACATGTCTTCGGCACGTGGATGACGCACTTCGTTCCTTTCATACAGTAAACATACTGGAATAGAAGAAAATATGTCACTCTCATTACACATATTGTCATTCAAAAGCCTAAAATCAGCATTAAAGATGTATGTTTGAACCGCGTTGCTCCAGAGGCAAGAGGTTAGAATGGGGGAGGCGATACAAGATTTTGTTAAGGAATAAAGACCCATCACCTATAACAGACCTCCTCATCAAATTCATTTCCCTGAAAATAAGAAAATGTTTGCTCCCCTTGCTTGGAAATCTATTCCAAGTGTTGTAATTAAATACCTACATTATTATGTAGCACTTGCATACTTCGACCTTCTACTCCTTTATCATTGAACCTTTGTGAAAGTCATAAAAGACCAGGAGTGAGTGAGTTGGCGCATCTTCCCGAGGCAAGGGAGTTAACTAACTTTAAAAGTCCGGTTTCCACCCTTGCAGAACTTGGCGCGCAATTCTGGGCTCGATGGAAGCGCCACCAGCAGTCGCCATGCTGTTTACGAACCGGATGTCGATTTCGTTACGAGATTTTGACTGGACTATTCATAGACTCGTTGGTCCAGGCAAAACATAACTCCATAATTCCAGCCTAGTTCGGCAAGTGTGAAAACTGGACTTTTATAGTCAGTTAACTCCCTTGCCTCGGGAAGGTGGGTTTTGTGCCGCTTTGAACAGTATTGCAGTTATCTCACGAGGTGTCAGCTTAATGTGGGAGGAGAGCCCGAAGTGTTGCAGGTCTCAGACGCTTACCACTTTGGTGAAACAAATGAGCAAGGGTATGGTGCTGACAAACAAAGAAACAAAATCGGGGCGAAACGGGATTCGAACACTCGATCGTAGGTTTCTGGCATGCCCAGGGGACGCAACTCTGCAAAGTGAAATGCGGTGCCTTAGACGACTGGGCCACCTTGTCCCCCTTAAATACAATGAGTCAGCATGGAATGAAAACACCGTCCCATCACTATCATAAAAAATAAAGGTACTAAAAATCATTCAAATTGTATCTGTGCTTGTTGATATTGAAACTTTAGTAATACACTGATCGGCTGATGTCAGACCACATGTTCATATGTCAAGTGTAGCAACCGACTACCGTTTGTACAATATTCAATACACAGACCAGACTGATATGTATTTAAGAAATATCTCGAACGTTAATTTATCTTTGATAAATTCGAGCTTATGGCATGGTATGTATATGATCCACTATCGGCTATGTATATTGTACAATATCACTGATAACACAGCTGTCTTTGAAGCCAATGGGAAGTTCGTGATACGAAGGAAGGATAAGATCTTCCAACCCCCGGGATCTGTTATTGTTGAAAGGTGTTCAGGTAATCCAGATCTTCACAAACCGCCGACCAGTTCGGAAAGGTTGGAAATGTTGGGCGAGGGAGAGAGTTTGTGGGGCAAAGTGTCCGTTTGATGTGCAGTTACCCACAAGCAAATGACAACTGTAAAGTTGGAGGAAGGAATGTTGGGAGGTGGCACGACTGCCGAAGGGGACAGGTTCTACCGTAAACAGGTGTAGAGGTTATTTGTGGAATGTTTGAAATACGCAGTAACGATAGTCATGTCCCAGATGCACGGTGGCTGCACATTGGCCTCGTATCTCGCGGAAGTTACTTCCGATCTTCCAGATAATTAATTACATAATCCTGTCTATGGACATGTCACCTATCTTTCTGACATCAACGCACTACTGTGCAGATTTGCACTCACTATTATTAATGACAGGGGTAAACACCACTGGTCAAATCCAACTAGTCGGCAGCTCATTTCGGACCTGGGTCCTCTTGCACAAAGCGACTAGCGCTACGACAATCTTAACTCCCATATTCTTACATAGACTTACGATAGTTGTAGCGCTAAGATCGCTTTGTGCAAGAGGAACCAGATGCTTATGTCTTATAACTAGACTTTGGAAGAAAGATTTTAACTGATCTCGGACTAACTGAGTATCGGCCGTGTCGATCCCTGAATGAACCTTCTACTCATCATTTCAGAGACCCACCATAACATGATACAAATACCCTTTATACAGTAACAGCATTAATAGAGACAATGATTCATACATCTATGAATGAACTTTGCTTCTCATTCGGATATTTCCCATCCATATTCCAGGTTAACTCTGGAGACTATAATGAGGTATCCGGATGCGAGTTTGACGATGAACGAAGGAGATAGATCACATCGCCGGTGTCGGTATCTGCTGAAGACTGCTCTGTTTGCGTCTTTCCACAGGAAGCAATCTCATATTCCCCGTTAGTCGTTAACGAACAGGATGCTGACTTGACATCAAGACTCAAATTAGTCACATGAAAGTGCAGGTCATCGCCTACTTCCATACACCATTGCTCTCAGTTGCAGGAACATGTGCAACGTTTTGATAGCCTCTCGACGCCCGCATGGCATTTATTGGGCGTCGAAAGAAGCACACGCTTGCGCCTGAAACTCATTCTAAGGTCGATCTAGATATCGGGTCCACATGTCCTTATGTATGGTCATTAACACTTTATGTACACTGAAAACGGACTGGAAAGAATAAGTTTTATTCCATACTGAAAGGCCACGGGCCCATAGTACAATTCTGTTTTCGGGAGTGGTTGAAGATATGCTTAACAGGTCATATTCTAATTAACATAGCCTGATAAATGAACATTGATAGTTTTTAAGGGTATTTTTTATCAGTTGTTGACATGAACGATATAAAGTTTTGTTGAGTGGGATGTACATAAAAAGGCGGTTCTATATATTTTCTTCTTAATATTTTGGACAGACTAACAGAAACTGAAATTCATCTTCAATCATTTAAATCACATTGCTCACATGTTTCTATGTCTGCCTACTTCGGTCCTAAGTCTATGAGAGCTGCTTCTAAATTGTGCTGAGGTTATTCTGATTATGTCAATATTGATATCAAACAAATAGTATTCTGGGGAAATATTTCTTTTAAAAAGCTTGTAATAAGTGCAATTTTCTGTACTTAAAGCATGAGATGACCATTTGTGAGTTGATATCCTTGTAAACTGATATCCTTAAGTCTTTGGCGTATAGATACTAAAATCGATTCTGGATTGTTGGGAACTTATTGATTGTGCCAAACATACCCATAGCCGCATTCTTTTAATAACGACTTTACATCATTTACCCAACTGCGGATTCCTTGTCTTTCATACAATAACATCTACCACGGACAGATTGCGAGGTTAAAAATGCTTACTTCTCTTCATTCTATGATCAGAGTGTTACAGACCAGAAGACATCAGAACATCAGAAACTGATGATATTATCGTAACCAGAGAATGTCTCTTAGAAACATACGTCGAACACAACATTGCATTTGGCTTCAATCGTTCGATCATTGGTTCATCGGGCAGGTCTTTGGGAAGCTGGAGTAGCCCAGTGGTTATCGTGTTCGCTCGTCTGGCATTGCACCCTTGTTTGATTCCCCGCATGGATAGAATTTCTAAAGACGCAGACTTGGTATTCCCGTCGTGCTATGGAATATTGCAAAAATGGCGCAAACTCACAGACCTGCTGGAATTAGAGAAGATAAATCAACAATATGAAACCCAGTTGTAAGAGTAGTGGTCCGTCACGCTCAGGTGAGTGAGTGAGTATGGTTTAACGCCGCTTTTAGCAATATTCCAGCAATATCATTCCAGAAATAGGCTTCACACAGTGTACCCATGTGGGAAATCGAGAGTTGTTTTTTGGCGTGACAAGCGGACGCTTTGACCACTAGGCTAGTCGTCCAGTGAAAGAACCCATGAGCGTAAGAAACGTATGTGCTGCGTTAGTGAGAGGAGGGGGATGGAGATATTGATGTCACTTTCGATACGAACCTGTGGTATCGATTGGGTCCAGGGTATTTATCGTAATGGAAAGGAAATAATACCCTGGATTGTCCAGGATGGTCTTTGGAGGCTAGACCACGGCTGCAGACAATAACAACATACACGATGATGAAACCAGAAGTTTGCTGTCTGATCCTGGCTGGTACAAAGCAGTGCGTTCGTAACATGCGAGCAGAAATGCGTGTACAAAGTTAGCCTAGTGTAATTATCTAACATAAATAGACACTATCTTGTGGCTTATGTTTTAATGTATCGGATAACTATCGCAATTTCCTCTCCGCAGTAAAAGCGATTTTGTTTTCAACAATGTTATCTTAAGAACAACTTGACGATTACTATTAACAGACTGAAATGGAACAAACCCTTGAAATAAATCGGAAATTTAAGTTTCAGATAAAATGTGTGTGCCAGAAGCGTATTTTATGGTTTTGCACAAAGTGGTTGAATAATATTAGTTGCTTAGTATTAGCGTACACTACGTAACCTGTGTCAGCAGCGGTTATTAGTCAGAAAAGCAGAATAATGATACTTTTGTGTATAGTTTATTGCAAACTCATATAGAGTTTTTGATAAGATTACAGGAATGTATGGAGAACCCTCGTGGGTTATTTAGTGAGAACCGATGAAGGAGTATAAATGACAAGTTAAATTCGAAACACTGCGAACAAGGATATGTCTCATATTCATCACTACAACCGGCGAAACCATGTCTCATATTCATCACTACAAACGGTGAAACCATGTCTCATATTCAACACTATGATGAAACCATGTCTCACATTCATCACTACATCCGATGAAACCATGTCTCATTTTCAAAACTATGAGTGATGAAATCACGAGGGACAGATGTGTCATATTCAACACTGCTATTGAGGGACATTTGTTTCATGTTCAACACTGAGATCGAGGGACTCGAGTTTCATATTAATTCAACACTACGTAACCTCACTGAAAACCTATGTACCATATCAAGTTTTACTCAGAAAGAGAGTACTACGCCCGATAAACCTATGTACCATATCAAGTTTTACTCAGACAGAGAGTACTACGCCCGATAAACCTATGTACCATATCAAGTTTTACTCAGAGTACTTTGCTTAATAAACATATGTAGCATATCAAGTTTTACTCAGACAGAGAGTACTAAGCCCGATAAACC